TATATATATATAAAGCATGAAAAAAATTACAGAATAATGAAAAGAGAAGAAGAAAATTATTCAAGAAAAATAAAAAAATAAAACAGTTTTTTTGATAAAAAATCCGGGAAAAAAAGGAAAAAAGATATCTCTTTATCAGCTCACACGATCATATCTGCAAAAAGGAGTGCTAATATTGTATTAATGCAGTACTTTCTAATATTGTATCAATATAGCCAAAGAAAAATATATCAATACAGTAGTGTGGGGAGCACTTAAAAAAACTTATTAATTCTCTTAATTTTTTTTCCATTTTTATTTTCATCCTTTTTTTATTTAATTATTATCCTATTGTATAAACAAATCTTATTCAGACCAACAAAAAAAAAGAGGTAAACGGAAAAAATCTTATTTTGAAAAGGATATGTAGTTTTCCGAAGAAAACTTGTAACAATGCAATAAGAAATTCGTTCTCCAATGTTATTTATAGAGTTCACTTTTTTTCTTCTTTTTTTTGCACTTAGTGCGTTAACTGTCTTAAAAAACACAGCTTATTATTTGCGGTTAGTTGCTGTTGCATGATAATTTATGAATTATTGGTAGAATGAAAAAATTTAACTTACGATCACAAGATTTTCCGTCTTCCTGAAGAATGTATTCTTCGAGACATGAACATTGAGCAACTTTGTCCTGTAAATGGCAATTGTGCTGACAGCCCCCATTCTCGTCTTTACAGGCATCATACCCTTATTATTATGAAAACAATTTATTAAATTTTACAGTATGAAAACCATTTGCAAATGTTCAGTCGTGCATTAAAAAATGTGTAAGTTATAAATTAGGAAAACATGCTTTTCAAGTCTTACATTAGAAAAACCATTTGTAATTTCTAGATTCTAAAAACAGTTCGTTTTTAATTAGGAAAATAATTTTTAAGCCTTGCGTAAAAAAACAGTTTGTAAGTCTTAGAATAAAAAAATAGTTCATAAGATTTATAATTTGGAAACAGTTTTACATTGCGAAAACTATTTGTAGTTCTTTTGCGTCACACAAATCAGAGCAAAATTCTTTACGACAAAAAAAAAACTATAATTCTACTAAACCGTGGTAGATGATTAATAAAAAAAATATAATCATTTGTTATAACATTATTCCGTGTGTTCCAGATAGTTTGATAAAAAGAAAATTTAAAAAAAAAAACATTTAATGTGCATGTCAAAAGATCTGTTAATCAAATAAACTTAAAAATATTTTGGCCGGTTTTTGTTTATGTGATATGATATGATGGACAAAGAAATGAATTTTCTAATCTGACTTTTGAAATGGATAAACACATAAATAGTAATAGTTCAGATGATGTATATTCTTTGTAAAAAAATATAACATAAAAATTAAAACACTCAATGAATATATTTGATAAAATAATAATATACATAATAATTTTTCCTTTTATTTCAAGTCAAAATAACATTTGCTGTGAAATAATTTGCTTTTGAGTTATTAATTATGGATCATGTCTATAGAATATGTGTAAACTATGAAATCTGATTATATAAAAGAAACCGAAAGTAAGTTTGTATAGTATTTTTAGAGGGGAAATATATGTAATTAAATTAATTTTTTTGTAAAAACTAACACGCTTATTTATATAAGCTTATTCATATTTTTAATAAATGTGATAAAATATTTCTCTTGCTGGTGTGTATATTAAATGTAGTACTAATATTGAATAAAATATTTTATTATCAGCGTGGTAATATTTTATATATTTCATCTCCACTCATATAAATTTCATCTCCAGATTTCTATTTGAAAAACATATTACTTAGCTGAAATATTGGAAGTATCTTTAAACTGTGGATTTTAGAGTTCTACTTTTACATCGTGCAAAATATGCTAATATTTTTTGGTGAACCTTCTACTTTTTAGTTAACAAATCCTATTCTGGGCAAAATTTCATTGTTGCCCAAGTTGACTTATGGAAAATGTATTTTTAGTCAACTTTCGAGGTTTTGTCTTTAAACCCTTAACGATCGGTTAATTTTCAAGAAAACGGTCATAAAAGTGCCTATTTGTTTGACTTTTGTATTTGTATTACGTATTTGATTAGTGCTGCAACTAGTTTAAAATAAACTAACTATCTACAATTACCCTAAAAATATCCTGGTACTGCCATCAGGTGTGTAAAATGAGAAATAAAATGTTTTCCTGGCAAAAGAAATGAATTAATTTTATTCTTATTGGCGTGTTACTACTGAACACTCCAGCCCGTCAATATCACGGGAGCGAGAAATAGCTGGTGAAATCTCACCCCGTCATCAGGGGAGCGAGAAGTACAGATTTAAATAGTTTCCTACACTTATAGTATAATTATCAGTGGTAGTTAACTGATGTCAAATGTAGGTTGGTACTTTAATGACGTCACACTAGACCTCTAAAATGGGTTATCGGGAATGGTCTGGGATATATCCTCTGTAGACTGGATGGCTCCTCCGCTTTAACCCGTCAAACTGCGATCGAAGTCAAGCAATTTACGGTAGAACAGTTTAACGAGGACCGATACCGCGCATCCTTGGTCACTACCCAAACAGAGTGGTCATCCACCCGCTTACTGACAGCAAACAAGTGATGCTTGACTTCAGTGTGCCACTGGAAACTGTCTGTTTACAATCAGTCCACTGCTGTGCAAAAAGTTTTAAAGCAGAATTGTTGAAACCTTTATCATGATTATTTTTCTATGAGACACTTAATACATATTTTTAAACTATTTATATACTGTGGTTTCCAGCCGCCACACAGATTGCTGAACTCAAACTGTTTTTTATTATAATTTTTCTGTAATATTTCATGATGTATAGAATATGCTGTCCAAATTTTGTAAATTAAGTAAAGTAAAATACTATGGTGGGCAAAGTCTTTTAAATCTCATCGGCTAAAATATTAATACATTACCTCTGTTACCACTAAAAAATATTCTCGTAAACTACAAAAATTCCGTAGTAGATAAAGGTTTTATAGTTACAGAGTAATGAGCAAACGCTCAATGCCAGCGTTAGTAAAAAAAAATTACTGCTAAAACGTAGTGTATTATAACTATTAAAATTGCAAACTTGGGGGAGCTAAGCGATAAAATTGGTAGTTACGCATAAGCTTTGACATAAAAAGAACTTGCGACACATGCAATCAGCCATCCATACTTAATGAAAAAATGTACGAATGAAGAAAACCTACGACGAATGCGAGAACGTCCTTCCATTAAGTTGAAGTCCTAATTTGCAGTTATTTTACGCTTGGAAACAACTACAGGATTGTAGCGCGCTACTAAAAATGCAGGCGAATGGATTTCAAACTTATATTAATAGAAATTATAAATGGAACTTGTTATAGCATATTTTCTTCAGTTTACTACCGAGGAAAATGAAGCACTGGCTTTATTTTTTTTAAAAATATGAATAATTTGAAATGTAAGTCATAGTAGTAGTTGCGTTTGAATGATTTTTAAGATAATAAATAAATTAAATTGTGTTTCTACCAATTTTTTCATTTATAATCGCCCGTGGCATCACTACAACTATGTATACTTTAACACTAGGTTTACGGGACGCGTCATTTTGACGCCTTTCGAGTTTTGTAAGGAAAATTATAAAACCCGCTTGAATTTTTATTTTATCTCTTACAATGACTTTTAACCATTGATCGAAGTAAATATATATTGAAGGTTATTTTCTTCAAAAGCGTTTAAATATTGAAATTCTCTATGTGGTATACCTATCTTTACGGATATGCGTCAATTTGACGCGATCATAATTTAGACAAAATTTTGAGTAAACAAGCAATTATCACATCAGTAATAAATAGGAATGTACCGATAATACTTCGATTCGTTATCTCAAATGAAACAACTGTTGCCGGTAAGCAATAATAGAAAGAACAAACGCAGAATGTCAATTGATGTCAGAGTGTCAGATTTAGAAGGTTTCAGTTGCTTAGTTCGAGTATTGAAACATAAAATACTAGACTATTTCATACATATATATCTCATATCTTCATTTTTTTTCTTATAGTATACATATNATTCTTTCATACGTCAAATTGACGCGTGTTCGTAGAGATAGGTATATAAGAAACGTCCGTAAACCTAGTGATATATTGGTTCATGCGTCAAATTGACGTGTGTTCGTAGAAATAGGTATATAAGAAACGTCTGTAAACCTAGTATTAACCCCTTGGGGACGGGTGATTCAGAAAAGCATTCGTACAAAATCAGAATCAAGTTGCAATTAAATAAAAAACGGTAACTTAAATGTAGTCGTTACTAATTTGACAGACTTACTTTGCTTTATTTTAATTATTGTTAGTTTAATCATATATATAATCAATGTTAATTCAAAGTATAACTAAATAGTTTTATTTTGAACAAAGTAATGGTGAATTAAATAAATCAAAAAATTATAACTCCGCCTACAAATAAACTGCTAAAGAAATACTTTGATTACCAGTTTTATCTTCTTACCCTGATTGATACGGTTTTTTGCTGTCACGTATTTGTGACAGTCGGCGCGAAAGGGTTAAGTAAAATTCGCGGCCTAGGTGCCCAGCTAGCATAACTAAAGAAAAGGAATTAAAGGAAAAAAACGTCAGAGTGAACTAAACTTACGATTACAAGAACGTCCATCCTCGTCAAGTGCGAATCCTTCGTGACAATAGCAATTAACTTTACCGTTCTCTGCTTCGCAATAGTGTTCACATCCTCCGTTACTTTCGACACATGGATTGGTACCTTAAAATTATAAAAAAATATTTCCTACTTTACCATTTCATATAAAAAATTTATAATTAGTTCAAATACCACTACAAATAAATAATTTAAGCAATGAAGTAAAACCTATTTTCCATAAGCAATTTTGTCGGTCATTCCAATAATTATTGTTTCTTAGAATCTGTTTCTAACTTTCTGGAGAAAATTCCGAAATGCTATCTTTCACCGGATATCGTTAAATACTTCCGAGATTGATTTAGTTTAGTTAATTCGATTTAAACTCTCTCGAACTACTACTAAATAATTTAAAGGTTTACGTGGTCTGCCACTTTGTCACAGTTAGCCTTGTTGAGCCATTTAGAAAGTTGGCAAAATTTAACGAGAATCTGTAAATCTCAGTTTGTAGTTCTTTACCGTTCTTAAAAAATAATTTGACGAATGCGAAACAGGTGGAATCTCTAATCCATACTAGCCCTGTGGAGTTATTAGTTCGGTAAAATTCATTTTTGGTCAATTAAAAAGTGTAAATCGAATCATTCACTAAGCAATGTGTACTGATGAATCTCTAAATGAAGTAAAATTTTAGCTGGTACTTGCGAATAGGGCAAAAGCTTAGCAGGTACGAGTAAACCAGTTTAGAGCTGTTAATTGTAAATGGGACGAAAACAATGAGCAGGTGGATGTTAATGAGGCAATAGCTGAGGTGATGAACTTAAATGAAGCAAAATTTGATCAGGTACATGTGAATGAGGGAAAAGTTTAGCTGGTAGAAGTAAAGAAAACCTAGTTTTAGTTGTTAGTTCTAAATGGGGCTAAAGTTGAACTGTTGGGTGTAACTGAGGTGAAATTTGATCCATGTAATGATGTAATTTGATGGATGTAAATGGGTCAAAATTAGATATGGTGAGTATCAACGAGGTATAATTTAAGTTCATAAATCTGGTGCAAAATTTGAGTTTGTAGTTGTGAATAAGGAAATATTTGAGCTGGGGAATGTTAATGGGACGAAAATTGAACTAGTAGTTGTTAATGAGGCAAATTTGGAATTGAAATAAAGAAAAATTTGACCTGATAGTTGTAAATAGGGTGAATGTTTATCTGATAGGAGTGAATGAAGGTAGATTTGAGCTGTTGGTTATAAAAGAAACGGAAGTTTAACTGTTGGGTGTTACTGAGGAGAAATTTAGGCAAAGGATGTAAATGGGTCAAAATATGATATGGTGAAAGTAAGAGCGGTGAAATTTGAGCTGATGCAAACCTTGCGTTGATTCTTGCAAATATGGTGAAATTTGAGCTGGTGAATGTAAATTAGACGAAAATTATGCTGGTGGATGTTAAAGGGGTAAAGTTTCATGCCTACTGCCGAATTCAACAATATATTCAATAACGAAGTAGAGAATTTCAGTGTCAGCCACCGGTGGTTGACGCGACCTAAATGTAATTTCAGTGTCAGTCACCGATGGCTGACGCGGTGCTCAATGTGTTAATAATAATAATAAAGCGCAATAAAACGTAATCTGGGATAATAAAATTATCTCTAAAAATTACGTACATAAAAGAAAAACTTTTTCTCAGGAAAGAAGCAGTTTCATATATTTGCTATAATTGTAAAAAAATTTTCGGTAGTTACAGAAATGTATGTTTTCTCGAAAAAATACTAGAATGAAATACCTTTCGTACCAGTTTTTGCTCCTTTCCGTCTTGGTATGTATAGGCTTTCAGTCCTTGATGAAACTGAGTCCCAACTTTCAACATTCAATTGCGCTTTGGCGATTTATCATACATTCCCACTCAGATGAATTAGTTAGAGCCCCTCGCGGGGATGATGCTAAGATAACTATCACGTATGAGTATGAGATGGAACTAAGCGGCACATCTAATATATACAGTTAGAGATAAATGGCCTCCCAACTTTCGATAAAAAAAATAAATAAATAAAAGCGCTTTATAGCATTCAAAAAGGATGCCACTGTTGACTAAAAAATGTAAGAAATGCAGAGATGCCAATTGCTTCGGATCTGACAAAATATTTTACAAAACGGTAAATAACTACAAAAACTTGCAAATTTTCGGTTAATTTTGTCAACTTTTTAAGACTCAACAAGGCTTAGCTATTACGCAGTGGCATATAACATAAGCCTTTGAATTATTTAGAAGTAGTATTGAGTAAAACTGCATACATGCCAACTCTTCCGGATTTTCCGGAAGATTTTATTTTCATATTTAAAGTGGTAGCAAAGTATGCATCA